AAGATACAAAGACATATCTGCAGGTGAGGATTTAATAAAGAGATTGTGTTCTTTTTAATATATTTTTTTTTTATTGATTTCAGAGAGGAATGGAGAGGGAGAGAAAGGGAGAAACAGCAGTGATGAGAGAGAATCATTGATCAGCTGCCTCCTGCATGCCCTTCACTGGAGATTAAGCCTACAACCCAGGCATGTGCCCTTGACCAGAATAAAATCTGGGACTTTTCAGTCCGCAGGCTGATGCTCTATCCACTGAACCAAACTGGCAAGGGCAAGAAGTCATGTTCTTCTTGAAGAATAAAAAATAAATAAAAATAAGGAATATTAAAATGGCAGTTAAATTCATAAATATCAATAATTACTTTAAGTGCAAAAGGATTAAATAAATAACAAGTCTCTTACATATGTCTAAAACAGACTCACTTCAAATGGAAAGACACAGACCAAAAAAAAAAGGGGGGGAATATTTCATGGAAACAAGAAAAGCTGGGGTAGCAATATTATACCTGTCAAAATAGCTTAACAAAACCTATAACAAGATAACAAAAGACCCAGCAATTCCACTTCTTGATATTTATCTGAAGAAACCCAAAATACCAAATCTAAAAGGCATACACCTATACGTTCATTGCAGCATTATTTAAAATAGCCAAAATATGGAAGCAATCTAGTTGTCCATCAGTAGATGAATGAATAAAAAGTGGTGCAACCAAAACAGGTTTGGCTTAGTGGATAGAGCATTGGCCTGTGGACTGAAGGGTCCCAGGTTCGATTCCGGTCAAGGGCATGTAACTTGGTTGTGGGCACATCCCCAGTTGGGGGTGTGCAGGAAGCAGCTGATCTATGTTTCTCTCTCATCGATGTTCCTGACTCTCTGTCCCTTTCCCTTCCTCTTTGTAAAAAATCAATTAAAAAAAAAAATATATATATATTTTTAAAAAGTGGTGCATATATACAATGAAATATAACTCAACCTTTAAAAAAAAGAAAAAGAAAAAGAATGACCTAGAATGCATTGGTGCTGAGTGAGATAAGTCAGGCAGAGAAAGACAAATGCCATATGATTTCACTTATCTGTGGGACCTAAAAAGAAACAAAATAAATGAACAAGCGGACCGGAAACAGACTCAATGATACAGAGAACATTTAGGGTTGCCAGATTGCTGGGGGGGGAATGGGTGAAAAAGGTGAAGGGATTAAGAACAAATAGGTAATTGCAGAATAGTTGCTGGAATGAAAAGTACAGCATAAGGAAATATGACCAATAATATTGTAATAACTATGTATGATTTCGGATGTGTACTAGTTTTATCAGGGTGAGCACTTAGGAGATTATATAAATATCTTTTTTTTAATATATTTTATTGATTTTTCACAGAGATGAAGAGAGAAGGATAGAGAGCTAGAAACATCGATGAGAGAGAATCATTGATCAGCTTCCTCTTGCACACCCCCTACTGGGAAAGTGCCCACAACCAAGGTACATGCCCTTGACCGGAATCGAACCCCGGACCTTTCAGTCCGCAGGCCGATGCTCTATCCACTGAGCCAAACCAGTCTGGCTATATAAATATCTTATCACCGGGTTATATACCTAAAATGAACATGCTGTATGTCAACTGTAATTGAAAAATAAAAATTATTAAAAAAAAAAGAAAAGCTATGAAAAAGGTAAAAAAAAAAAATTGAAATGGTTGAGAACTATGATTTAGAAGAGAGAAGCATTAGGGTTTTTATCTAGATAATGATCTAAGAGTTGAAGTGTTTAAGTTTGAGAAGTAGATGAACTTATAAAGGGAAATCATTCATTTTATATCACTCTATAACATGTGCTTGTTTTTTTTTTTACTTGCCCCTTTTGTCTAGTTCTTGAGTACAAAACAATGTGGCAATTAAAATAACTAAGATAAGCTGAAACCGGTTTGGCTCAGCAGTAGAGCGTCGGTCTGCCGACTGAAAGGTCCCAGGTTCGATTCTGGTCAAGGGCATGTGCGTCGGTTGCGGGCACATCCCTGGTAGGGGATGTGCAAGAGGCAGCTGGTCGATGTTTCTCTCTCATGGATGTTTCTAGCTCTCTTTCTCTCTCACTTCCCCTCTGTAAAAAATCAATAAAATATATTTTTTAAAAATAAAATAGAATAACTAAGATAAGATTAAATTAGCACTCACAGTATTTAATCAAAGTAAACTAGAAGAGTTCATATGGAATATTTCTAAAATGGAAATCTCATCAGAACTGCCCCTTTCACTCCCCACAAAAACAAATCAAAACTCAAGCAAATTTACTTCTGATATTAGCCATTTTGAGTTAGGAGGTTAATTTATCATTACATTATAGAAGGAGCAAAGACTGTTCTTTTAAATATATATATATATGTACTAGAGGCCCGGTGCATGAAATTCATCCATGGGGGTGGGGGTGGGGTTGTCCCTCAGCCCAGCCTGCACCCTCTCCAATCTGGGACATCCCTCTCACAATCCAGGACTGCTGGCTCCCAACTGCTCGCCTGCTTGCCTTCCTGATTGCCCCTAACCGCTTCTACCTGCCAGCCTGATCACCTCCTAACCACTCCCATGCCAGCCTGATTGATGTCTAACTGCTCCCCTGCCAGCCCATTTGCCCCCAACTTCCCTCCTCTGCTGGCCTAGTCACCCCTAACTTCCCTCCCCTGCAGGTTTGATCACCTTCAACTGCCCTCTGTTGCAGGCCTATTCCCCCTCAACTCCCCTCCCTTGCAGGCCTGTTGCCTCCCAACTGCCTCCCCTGTTGGCTGTCCTGTGTCCACATAGGGGCAGGATCTTTGACCACATGGGGGCAGCCATATTGTGTGTTGCAGTGATGGTCAATCTGTATATTACTCTTTTATTAGATAGGATAGAGGCATGGTGTATGGGTGGGAGCCAGCTGGTTTGCCCTGAAGGGTGATCTGGATCAGGGTGGGGGTTCCCTTGGGACTTGGGGTAGCCTAAGAGAGGGGCCTATGGTGGTTTTCAGGCCAGCCAACTGCCCCCAACAACCCAAGCAGAGGCTCTGGTATCTGGGATATATTTACTTTCTACAATTGAAACTTTGTAGCCTGGAGCGGAGCCAAGCCTCTTGCTTGCTCTTGGTGGCAGCCTGTCTGTTTGGATTTGTTTACCTTCTATAATGGAAATTTTGTAGCCTTGAGTGGAGGATTAGGCTGGCAAAGGCAGGTGGAAAGCTTGGCTTCCTCCTTTGCTGGGGAAATGCCTCCCTCCTGCTCTCTGTGGCTATAGCCATCTTGGTTGGGTTTATTTGCATACTTGCTCTGATTGGCTGGTGGGCATGGCTTGTGGAGCAGAGTGATGGTTAATTTGCATATCACTCTTTTATTAGGTAGGATACTAAAGGCCAAGTGCACAAATTCATGCACCAGTGGAAGCCCTATGGCTTGGCCTGTGGGATTGGGCTGAAACTGGTTCTCTGACATCCCCCAAGGGGTCCTGGATTGTGAGAGGGTGCCGGCCAAGCCGAGGGACCCCACCAGTGCACGATTGGGGCTGGGAGGGACACCGGAGGTTGGTAAGCGGGACCACTGAAGGGCTCTAGGGCGTGTGTGGCCCATCTCACTCAGTCCAGATCTGCCGGACCTCAGCATCAAGCAAACCTACTAGTTGGATCGTCTGCCCCTGGTGGTCAGTGCACTTTATAACAACAAGTTGAGTGGCCTTAGCATATTATGGTTTGATTGGTTGAATGGACGATCAGTCACTTAGCATATTAGGCTTTTGTTATATAGGATTTTTATTGATTTCAGAGAGGAAAGGAGAAATAGAAACATCAGTGATGAGAGAGAATCATCAATTGGCTGCTTTCTGAATGCCCCTCTCTCCCAATCCCCGCCACTGGGAATCAAACCCGCAACCCCAGCATGTGCCTTGACCAGGAATCAAACCGTGACCTTCTGCTTCATAGATAGATGCTCAAACACTGAGCCACATCAGCAATTGAAGTTTTCGTATGTTTATATGTATGAAATCTCCTATTTATGATTCAATTTAAACATACAGTATGTCCCAAAAAATTTATGCACACACTTTGAATAATTATAAAGGAATTGCTTATTAAAATGCATTTCATTTTAAAAATTGAGCTACAGCTGTTGAAGTGTGCATACTTTTTTTTTTTTTTTTTGGATACTCTGTATATGCAGATTTTTTTTTACCCCTACCCAAGGATATATTTATTGTTTTGAAAAAGAGAGAGAAAGATCCATATGAGAGAGAAACATCAATCAGTTGCCTCCCATACATGCCCCAACTGGGGATTAAACTCAACGTAGTACCCCTGACTCGGAATCAATTCTGCAACCTTTTGCTGCATGGGACAATGCTCCAACCAGCTGAGCCACTTGGCCATAGCTATGTAGGTTTTTTTTTTTAATAGATGTACACAAATACACACACACACACACACAAAAAATGATCTACTTTGCTTTCTGCCTCGTTGGAGTTGGTACCAGTGCTACCATCCATTTTAAAGCATGGGCCTCATCCCCTCTTGCTGTGCTTTCGATAATTCTCTTCTCACAAGCTTTATTTCCTGCCTTCTTGGAACCCACTTCAGAACTAAACCATTCTGTGTGTACTGAACAGAGAATACAGACATACAACCCCAGCAATTACTGCCTTCTCTGCTACAGGAAATGGAGAGGCAATAATTCTAGGGGTTGATTGCTATAACAACTGAGTTTTCATTAACTCAGTTGACTTGCCATAAAGTTGTTATCTTTGTTTTTCTGTTGTAATAAAAAGTGATTAATTAAATTTTATTATATCAATTGTCTACTACCACTAAGAAATTGCAAACCATAAGGTATTAAGTTTTAACCAAGATTTCAAAAATTCATATGTTCATATAAAGTAGATTTGTGTCCAAAGCAATTTTGGTGAATGTCAGGGACTTTTAACTTTTGAATCTTCCATGTTTTACCAAGAAAGTCTCTTTTTCAGTTTTCCTTTTTCTTTTTTCTTTGTAGTGGACGTTCGGAAGCAATAAAAATAAGAAGAAAGGAAAGACCAGAAAAATAGAGAAGAAAGGAACCATGAAGAAACAGGCCAATAAAACTGCTTCTTCAGGCAGTTCGGACAAAGACAGTTCAGCTGAGAGCTCAGCCCCTGAGGAAGGTGAGCCAAGTAGCCCAGGCCCTGGCAGTGAACTCCCATTCTTTTTTTTTTTTTTTTTTTTTTTTTTTTTTTTTAACATATTTTATTGATATTTTACAGAGAGGAGGAAGGGAGAGAGCTAGAGAGCTAGAAATGTCGATGAGAGAGAAACATCGACCAGCTGCCTCTTGCACACCCCCTACCGGGGATGTGCCCGCAACCAATGTACATGCCCTTGACCGGAATCGAACCCGGGACCTTTCAGTCCGCAGACCGACGCTCTACCACTGAGCCAAACCGGTTTCGGCTGAACTCCCATTCTTACCAGGTTGAGGATGCAATCAGAAATGGAGGGAAACATGCATGCATTACAGCAGCTCATAACATTTCAGTGGTCATGGATCCTTTGAGAAGCTAAATGAAGAAAGAAAAATACATGCAGTTCCGAAGATTAATGAGTTCAGTGAAACCCATCCAGGAAACCCATGAAGAGTATCTGCATAAGAGTTTCCCCCTGACCTTCCCTTCCCTCTTTCTTATGCATGCATGGTCTGAGGAGGAAAATCTTTGAACCTATACAAAATTGAATAAAAGAATTTATTAGGTATTCACTAATCAATTTAATAACTCACTAAAACATTGATTTTTTTTAATGTCAACTAATAAATGAAGAGATGAATCACCATTTTTAAAAAATATATATTTTATTGATTTTATACAGAGAGGAAGGGAGAGAGATAGAGAGTTAGAAACATCGATGAGAGATAGACATCGATCAGCCGCCTCTTGCACACTCCCTACTGGGGATATGCCCACAACCAAGGTACATGCCCTTGACCGGAATCGAACCCAGGACCTTTCAATCCCTAAGCCGACGCTCTATCCATTGAGCCAAACCGGTCTTGGTTGAATCACCATTTTTCAGTCATCAGTAATAATTGATTTACTCAAGAGTTATCAATGACTCTTAAATCACTGGGTGAGAGTTTGTTGGAAGTAAGATATTTACAGTCTCAAAGCATCTCCCCGTTATACTTAATAGCTACAAAGAAGAAAAAAGTGCCTTTACAATGGAGAAATCTATGGGAGACTACCTTACCCAAAAATCTAAATATCACTAGTAATGGGACAAATAGATATCAGGTGCTTCCTGATGTGATACTTTGAAAAGGACACAATTACTTAGAGAGTATTGTTGCCAAAAAGTCATAACCTGAATAGTGCTTGATGAAACCAACCAACTGAAATTGTGGACATTTGATAACTGTGGCTGTTTAAGTTTGAATTAATTAAAATTTAAAATTTTAGTCTCTCATTTGCATTAGCCACATTTTAATTGCTCGGTAGCCACATGTGGTGGCTACGGCTCAGATAAAGAATATTTATTACTTCATAAAATTCTGTTAGGTAATATTTGGACTTATACTCCTCAAAACTTCAATGGCATGAAAGACCAAAAATAAGATTGTTGCAGATTAAAGGTACTAGAGAGTCATAGCAACCAGATGCAATGTGTGATCCTAGATTGAGTCCCTCTTTGGCTGAAAAGTGGCTATAAAGGACTATGTTAGAACAGCTGGTGAAATTTGAATAGGGCGTGTGTTAGATGAAGGTATTCCATCAATGTTGAATTTCCTGAATTTGATAATTGTATAATTATGTAAAAGACTGTCTTTTAGGAGAAGTGTTTAGGTATAAAGGGTTACAATCTCTGCAACTTACTTTCAGTTCAGCAAAATGAATAATAAAAATGTATACATTATTTTAAATATGTAGACAAAAAGTAAATTGGCAATGTTGATAATGTGTAAACTTAAGTTAAAAGATATGTAGCCCAGCGGGTGTGGCTCAGTGGTTGAACACAATCTATGAACTAGGATATTATAGTTTGATTCCCAGTCAGGGCAGTGTCTGCACTGCAGCCTGATCCCTAGTGTGTGGCGTAAAGAAAACAGTTAATCAGTGATTCTCTCTCATCATTGATGCTTTATTTCTCTCTCCCTCTCCCTTCTTCTCAATGTATTTTATTTTAAAAAATGATGGGCCAGGCCAGTGTGGCTCAGTGATGGAGCATCAACATATGAACCAGGAGGTCATGGTTCAATTCCTGGTCAGGGCACATGTCCAGATTGCAGCTTCATCCCCAGTCTGGGGCCTGCAGGAGGCAGCCAACCAATGATTCTAATCATTGATGTTTTATCTCTCCCTCCCTCCCTCCCTCTCTCTGAAATCAATAAAAATATTAAAGGGGAGAAAAAAGGATGTGCAGGAACTCTGGCCAGTGTTGCTAACTGGTTAGGGTGTCAGCCAATTCATTGAAGGTCTTGGGTTCAATTCCTAGTCAAGGGCACATACCTGGATTAGGGTTCACTCCCTGACCTGGTCCAGGCATGTGTGGGAAGCAGCCACTAACTATGGATGAGATACACCCATTAATATGGATATATCTCACATCAGTGTTTGTTTTCTCTCCCTCCCTCCCTTCCACCCTCTCTGAAAATCAGTGGAAAAAATATCCTGTTAAGGATTATTAAAAAAAAAAAAAGATGTATCAGAGTCACCTGTTCTTTCACCTTTTTTCTTTAGATCTGCAATTTTTTTCAAAAGTAAAAAGTTTAAAAAGAACATGCTGGTTTATATTCCAACTTATGCTTACATTTGCCAAAGGCAGACCCAAGGGAGCAGAGATGGCCATGTGCCATCTTACCCAGGAGAGCCAAGAAGTAATGATGGTTCACTGTCACCTCGGCCTGGCTTCTCTGGCAGAGCCTAATCTTCTGTTCGCCCTTTGTGGCAGGTGAAGTGTCGGATTCTGACAGCAACAGCTCCTCCTCTAGTTCAGACTCTGACTCCTCTTCTGAAGATGAAGAGTTCCATGATGGCTACGGGGAAGACCTCATGGGGGATGAGGAGGACAGGGCTCGTCTGGAGCAAATGACAGAGAAGGAAAGAGAGCAAGAACTCTTCAACCGAATTGAGAAAAGGGAGGTGTTGAAAAGAAGGTAAGGTTATGATTCCTTAATGAGTAAATAAAATAATAAAATAATTTTTCCAAAATTCACATTTGAAGCCCTATCTCTATTGGATTTAATTAATTAAGACTTGAGATTTATAATAATATAATTATTATTATTGCTATTGTTGTTGATGTTAATCCTCTCCAAGGAAATTTTTACATTGGTTTTTAGATAATGGAAAGGAGGGGAAGAGATAGAGAGAGAAACATCAATGGGAGAAATAACACATCGATTGGTTGCCTCCCACATTGGGCCCAACCAGGGTCACCAGGGCCGGGGATTAAGCCTGTAACTGAGGTATGTGCCCTTGACCAAAAATAGAACCTGGGACTCTTCAGTCCATAAGCTGATGCTCTGTCCACTGAACCAAACTGGCTAGGGTGAGATTTATCATTATTTACAAATTCGGTATCTCACTATCTTTCCATCATGGCTTTTGTATGTTTTGCTTTTTGCTTTCCTGGTTGGGTGTTTTTTGCTTCTTCGTATTTCAAATCTTTGACTTGATTCTTGCGATCCTCTAGTCTGTTGTTGGATCTCTGTATGTTATTCTTTATTTCAGTCAGTGTATGCTTAATTTCTAGTTGGTCATTTTTTTAAATATATATTTTATTGATTTTCTTATAGAGAGGAAGGGAGAGATATAGAGAGCTAGAAACATCGATGAGAGAGAAACATCAACCAGCTTCCTCTTGCACACTCCCTATCGGGGATGTTCCCCCAACCAATGTACATGCCCTTGACCTGAATCGAACCTGGGACCTTTCAGTCCGCAGACCGACGCTCTACCGCTGAGCCAAACTGGTTTCGGCTAGTTGGTCATTTTTCATATCCTCGAGGGTCTCGCTAAATTTATTGGCAGTTTCTAGAAAATTCTTGAAAAAACTTATAACCGTGGTTTTGACTCTATCTCCTCTATCTCCTCCATTGCTTTTATTTGTAACCTGTTTCTTTGTCTCAGCATTTTGGTTGCTTCCCTGTGTTGATAGAGTGGCTTTGTGTGCTAGGTGTCCTATAGGGCCCAGTGGTTCAGCTTCCTCAGTTACCTGAAGTGGACACTCTTGGTGCATCCCTTTATGGGCTGTGTGCACAGTCTTGTTGTAGGTAAGCTTTGATTGATGTTAGTATCACTGGGAGGAATTGACCTCCAGGCCAGTTGGCTGTGAGGATCAGCTGTGTCTATGACGGGAGAACTTCTGTGCTGGAGACACCCATCTGAGGCAAGATTTGCTTCATTGGAGCTTTGGTGCTCTCTGAGTCTGCCCCCTATGTGTATCCCTTATGGATCTGAGAGGTTGTAATCTGGATGGTCCCACTCTTACCACTGGGTACACTGGCTCTTGGATCTCCAAGGAGGTGCTAATTTAGCCTCTGCCTGAGGCCACCCAGCAGGAGCTACAGATAGATCTGCAGATTCCTCTTTTTTGTTTGGGATTTGGAGGTGCCCAGATGAGGCCCAGGTGTGAAGCAGTGAAAGCTGCTTAGACCTTCTTTTGGATGTTCTGGGTCTCTCTGACTCAGCTGCAGTTTCTTAGGTAATTTTAGATTTCAAAGGACCAGGCCATTCATATGCAAAAGCCTCTGCTCACAGTGTGGGTGGGGCGGGGTCTCAGGGTTGAGCAAACAGCAATGGCTTCCCATCAGCCCTGCCCTAAGAGGCTCCTGGGCCTCAGTATCCCATAGTAATCACTGCAAGTACTTCTGAGAGAAAGTGCCCTCAAGTTCCACCCAATGCCAGACAGTCCAGTTTCTCCCCATATGAGTCTGGGTCCCCAGAGTCTCACCCAGAACTATAGTTCAGAGCAATTAGGAGCTTGTATCTCCCAAATGTAAAAGACAGTCTCATCTTAAATCGCCAGCCCTCAGTTACCAGCCCTTTGTGAACGTGCGTTCGTTCCTCATACCTCTGAACTTTACTTCTGCAGCTCCTTTGAGTCTCAGTGTGCTTTTCTTTTTCCTTCTAGTTGTAGAATTTCCACTCGACCAACCTTCCTGTGGTTCTGGATGATGTCTGTTTTGTCTTTTAGTTGTAGTTTTGAAGTTGTTTTGTGAGGCAGCAAGTCCAGGTATTTATCTATGCCACCATCTTGGTTTCCCTCCAGTATATACTGATTTTTGTTTATCTATTGATCTATTGGTTGATATTTGGGTTGTTTTCACTGTTTTGCTATTGTGAATAGTGCTAATATGAACATTCATGTACACATATTTGAATACCTATTTTCAGTCCTTTTAGGGGTATACCTAGGAGTAAAATTGCTGGGTCATACAGTAATTTTGTTTCCTTTTGAGAAACCACCAAACTGTTTTTCCACAACCTCTGCACTATTTTACATTCACACCAGCAGTGTTGGTTCCAATTGTGCCCAATCTTGCCAATACTAGTTATTTTCCCCTTTTTTTTTTTTTAATATATTTTATTGATTTTTATACAGAGAAGAAGGGAGAGAGAGAGAGTTAGAAACATCGATGAGAGAGAGTCATCGATCAGCTGCCTCTTGCACAGCCCCTACTGGGGATATGCCCGCAACCAAGGTACATGCCCTTGACCGGAATCGAACCTGGGACCCTTCAGTCCCCAAGCCGACGCTCTATCCACTGAGCCAAACCGGTCCCGGCTATTTTCCCTTTTTTTTCTTAATAGTTATTCTGATGGATGTGATATATTTCACTGTGATTTCGATTTGTACTTTTCTAATCTGCAAAAAGAGATAAATTTTACTTCTTTTCCCATATGTATCCCTTCATTTCTTTTGTGTGTGTGTGTGTGTGTGTGTGTGTGTGTGTGTGTGTGTCTTCCAGTACCATGATGATTAGAAATAGTGAGAGCATACATCCTTTTCTTGTTCTAATCTTAGGGGAAAGGATTCAGTCTTTCACCATTATGTATTAAGTTAGCTGTGGGGTTTTTTATAGATGCTTTCTATCATTTTGAGAAAATTCCCTTCTGTTTCTAGTTTGTTGAGAATTTTTACCAAGACAGGGTATTGGATTTTGTTAAATGCTTGTTCTGTGTTTGTTGGGATAATTACGTAGTTTTTGTACTTTTTTCTACTACCCGTGTTTCCCCCAAAATAGACATCCTCCGAAAATAAGACCTACTTACAGGTTTCCTTCTGAGTGAAATATAAGGCATCCCCCTGAAAATAAGGCCCCCCTAGGCTAAATATGAGAGATTTGTTCCACTGATTCTGAAAGAAATGAAGTCACAAGAAATTCACCAGGAAATTCAGGAATTAGATTGTTATGATGATGATCCAGACGATGATGACATGATTGTCATTGAATAAATGAGTAAATTCCGCCGAAACCTGTTTGGCTCAGTGGATAGAGCGTCGGCCTGCTGACTGAAAGGTCCTGGGTTCGATTCCGGTCAAGGGCATGTACCTTGGTTGCGGGCACATCCCCAGTAGGGGGTGTGCAGGAGGCAGCTGATCGATGATTCTCTCTCATTGATGTTTCTAACTCTCTATCCGTCTCTCTTCCTCTCTGTAAAAAATCAATAAAATACATTTTTTTAAAAAGAATAAATGAGTAAATTCTTGATACTGTATTTTCATTTAACAATAAATGTGTACCGTATTCTTCTTCATAGAAAAATAAGACAGCCCCTGAAAATAAGACCTAGCGTATCTTTGGGAGCAAAAATTAATATAAGACACTGTCTTATTTTCGGGGAAACAGTAATATGGTATATTATGATTGATTTTCTTATGTTGAATCAACCTTGCATTTCTGCTTGGTCATGGTGTATCATCCTTTTTATAAGTTTACTAAGAGGCCCAGTGCGCGAAATTGCATAAGACCCCAGACCCGCCATGCCACTGCAGGGGCACGTGACCCCAGACCTGCAGTGCAGCCATAGAAGTGGGATCCCAGACCTACCATACTTCCATGGGCATGGCACCTCAGCCCCACCGAGCCACCACAAGACCCATCAATGCATCTCCTGGTGACTATTGAATCCATCTGTATTATAAAAGACACAGGCCTTTTATAATATAGATGGATTCAATTTGCTGCTGTTTTGTACCAGCATTCTTTTTTTTTTTTTTTTAAAGCAGACTTTTTTCTTTTTTCTTTTTTTTAAATATATTTTATTGATTTTGTACAGAGAGGAAGGGAGAGAGATAGAGAGTTAGAAACATCAATGAGAGAGAGTCATCGATCAGCTGCCTCCTGCACACCCCCTACTGGGGATATGTCCGCAACCAAGGTACATGCCCTTGACCGGAATCAAACCCAGGACCTTTCAGTCCCCAAGCCGACGCTCTATCCATTGAGCCAAACCGGTTTCGGCTGTATCAGCATTCTTAAGAGATACTGGTCTACACTTTTTTTCTTGTGATGTCATTGTCTGGCTTTGGTATCAGAATAATATTAGCCTAGGCTTTCCCATGCCTTTCCCTTTTCCTTCCCCTCCCCGCCCCCCAAGCACATTAGCTTCCTTACTTCCAAACTCCAAGGGTCCTTCCTTTACCTCCATAACTTGTTTCCTAAGCCCATCTTTCTATGAATTACTTCTTCTATCTCTATAATTTACCAAACAAAATGTTCTCTTATAAGAAAAAAAATAACAATACTAGCCTCATAGAATGAATTGAGAAGTGTTTTCTTCTCTTTTATTTTTTGGAAGAGTTTGTGAAGGATTGGTATTACCACCCTAACTGGTTTGGCTCAGTGGATAGAGCATCGGCCTGCGCACTGAAGGGTTCCAGGTTCGATTCTGGTCAAGGGCATGCACCTTGGTTGCGAACACATCCCCAGTAGGGGCATGCAGGAGGCAGCTGATTGATGTTTCTCATTGATGTTTCTAACTCTATCCCTCTCCCTTCCTGTCTGTAAAAAATCAATAAAATACACTAAAAAAAAAAAAAAAAAGAATTGGTATTACCGCCCTTGCAAGTTTGGCTCAGTGATCCTCGGACTGAAGGGTCCTGGGTTCGATTCCAATCATGGGCATGTACCTTAGTTGTAGGTTCAATCCCCAGTAAGAGGCGTGGAGGAGGCAGCCAATCCATGTGTTTCTCTCTCATTGATGTTTCTATCTCTCTTTCTTCCTCTCTCTAAAATTAGTAAAAACATTTTTTTTTTAATGTGATAGTGACTCTATGGCTTCACTCTATTTCTGATGGGACACCATTGGAATTTATTTTAAAAATTCGTTATTTTCTTCTGTTATATGAAGGTCAAGGAGGATTTGTGTGTTACTGACAGGATACAGTAATATCCTGAATATTTTTGTCCTCTTAGGCCTATTCCAACTTAATGTTTATTTTTCTGTACTTATATTCAATATTTTTTAATATATATTTTATTCAGAGAAGAAGAAATAGGGAGAGGGAAATGAAAACATCTATGATGAGAGGAAATCATTGATTGGCTGCCTCCTGTATGCACCCTACTGGGGATTGAACCCACAACACATGCATGTACCCTGACCAGGAATCGAGCCATACCAGCCAGGCTATAGTCAATGATTTTTATGGTACTTGTACATTGGAGTTTCTTAAAGGAAGCAGAAAACGTTTATTAACTCCCCCCCCCCATTTACTTCCTTTCTCATATCTAATAGGAATCAGTCATTACAAATATTTAATTGCCCCACTTAAAAAAACAATAAATATCTTTTAATCAGGTTTGAAATTAAGAAAAAACTGAAAACAGCCAAAAAGAAAGAAAAGAAAGAAAAAAAGAAGAAGCAAGAAGAAGAGCAAGAAAAGAAAAAGCTGACACAGATTCAAGAATCTCAGGTAGGAGATTCAGTGGACCTCATTATCTGAAGAATAAAGTCTATTTTGAATGCATGTGTTTATATAAAAGATGTGTTTATATTACTCAGCTTAAGTCAGTCAGTGCATAACTATTACATACTCTAGATATATCATTTCACCACTAGCTGCACTGTTTAATTCCTTAGGAATCCTTCACTCAAGTCTGCATTTAAAAAGCAGCTTAAATGATGTGTGAATAGCCTCTAAGAAAAAGTTATTAAATTTCCTGTTCAGTGTAGCCCAGTTGGTTAGTTACGTTTACTCAGTCAGGTGTACGTCATTCTATACCTGGTTGTAAAAGTAGCTAGGAAAATTAATCATCTCTGCATTTGTCACAAAATGCTTTGTTGATAATATCAGCAAATATTGGCTATGATCTAGGATGTCCTTCTTGAAAGTGCTTATTCCTGATCTAATAAACAAAATAACCTGAGAAACAAAATAGGTCCAGAGGCATGGATGCATGGAACAGACTGACAGATCTCAGGGGGGAAGGGTGGGGAGGCCAGGAAGAGAAAAACCGAAGAATTTACATACACACCTGGCATAGCCCATGGACACAGATAAACGGTGTGGTGAAGGCCTGAGGGAGGGCAGGGGCTGGGAAGAGATGGGAAAAGGGAGGGCAGGATGGGGGACATCTGTAATACTGTCAACAATAAAAATATATATGTATATAGATTTTGCATATATTTTAAAAATGCTTATTCCTGTAATTCTTAGGCTTTCTGTTTATTAGGCAGGGAAGATGGGAGCTGACTTTACTGCTCTATCCTCTTTGTCCACAAGAGGATGCTCTCCCCCTTTAAACAAGTTTCAGTTTCTATAGTAATACAGAGTCACAGTGAAGAACTAAATAATTAATTGTAGGTATAGACAGTCATAACCAGTTGATAAAAAGAACCATCCTACATATGTTTCCCTTCGCAGGTAACATCCCACAACAAGGAACGGCGTTCCAAACGGGATGAGAAACTAGATAAAAAATCTCAAGCCATGGAGGAGCTAAAAGCAGAGAGAGAAAAACGGAAGAACAGAACAGGTAAGTAGGGAAAATATGCTACTTGGTGTCTTGATCATATAATTTGACTTTCTAGTGCTCATTTTTATTTTTCCCCTTGTTTAGCTCTTTATTATGAGAAATTCCAAAAACATACAGGATATAGTGTAATGAACCTCCATGAACCCATCATCATCCAGCCTCACCAGTCAACTCATGGGCAACCATTTTGTTTGTTTGTTTTGTTTTGGAGGCGTTACAATAAAAATGTTTATTTAGGTTTGATTAGTACAGGTAAGATATACTGGAATCACAGAGCAATATGCATTGACAGGGCACGACAGTTCATAAAAAGAGTAACTTTGCATACAAATGTCTTAAATATCATTCAGTCACCAAAAGAGAAAATGCACAGATGTATAGTGGAAAAAACTGTGTCTAACACTGAAACCACTATGGGACTCCATCAACAAGTCCAACTTTTAGTGATAAAACTGCTGTGCTGGGCAAACTTAGCAATCATAACCCACATCTACTCTAACAAGTCTGAATGGTGCATAAGAATAGTAACAGCAACTCATGGCCAATCTTGTTAAAGCTGTACTTCCTCTTACATTGGGTTATTTTTTTTTTTTAATGTATTTTATCATCAGGTTATTTTAAAGTAAATCCCAGTAAATAATTATATTTCAACCATAATTATTTCAATATATTGAAAAGATAAGGGCAATTATTTTAAATATAACTATAATGCCAATATATATATTGCAACGAATCACTTACCATTTTATTCCTTTATACAAATATATAGTCAGTCTTTAAATTTTTTTAGTTATTCTATAAAATATACTAATTTGATCATTTTAATCAGTATATAAATAAAATCCACTCATTGTAATTTGTTAATATATCCCCAAGTCACTTAGTCTGTAGGTTTTCCTGTCCATCTCTCTTTTTTAACTAGCCCCTTTCAGTTTATTTGTTGAAGAAACTGCATTCATTTATCTTACAGTTTTTCACAACAGATGCTGACTATATCATATTAGTGACGTTAAATGTGTTTTTCTAGTCCCTTGAATTTCCTGTAATTTGTAGTTAGAGTTAGAGAATTGGACAGATTTGGATTTGTTCTGTTTCTATTTTGTTTTGTTTGTTTGGAAGACTAAGTTTTAGGTAGTGATATATTATATCACGAGACCCAGAGTATCTGCTTGTCTCATTTTGTGATACTACCAGCTGTCACTTAACTATTACCACAATAATGTGAAATAACAAACTTCCCCAAACTCAGATAAACAATCATTTGTTCTTACTCAAGCATCTGCAGTTCAGGTAGGGGTTGCTTGATATACAGGTTTAGATGGGATTGTCCCCAAGTTTCATGATAGAACCAGGGCTGTTTCTCCTCTCTCTCTCCCGCCTCAGAGCAGTATAACTAGGACACATTCTTCTCATGGTAATGGCAGAAGTATAATAGGGGCGGGCAGAAACATGAGATGCTTCTTATGGCCTAGACTTGGAATGAGCAGTGTCAGATGTGTGCACATTCCATTGGCGAAAGCAAGTCACATTACCAAACTGACATGAACTGAACTGAGAGGAACTTCCCACTGAATCACATGGCAAAGAGCCTGGGCATAAGAAGGGTGAAGATCAGTATAGTAATGTGTTCTATCCCAACAGCCATTGTAATCATTACCTAGAGCATTTAACTTATTATGAGTTGCAAAAGGGTAATGTTATGATCAATTATTCTTTCTTCATTTATTATCTTGGGTTTACTTCTATAAAGAGAAGCTTCTCATCAGCTACTTAGTTACCACTAGGTACTATTTTTTATAGGAAAGGCAGAATAAATGCTTGATTTTTTGTTTTTGTTTTGCTTTACTGGGTTTTAAAAGAAAGCTAGTTCCTTAACAACTTTCAAAGGTGCCCAGTGAGGTTTGTTTCTTTATTCTGAATATCGTTATGAACTCATGGATTTTAAGATACTTCATACATTTCAATCCATTGCAGTAATTATTATTGAGATTCATATTATTTCATCTTCAACCAGTTGTAGCCTATGTCCTTATGATATGACACTCCAATAGTCTTTAATAGTTTTCTTGCTTTCTGAATTTGGAATTAGCCATTTCTCTAAGGAACTCTGGTTCCTTTTTCATGAGAAATTATATGTGGACATCACAGTCTAGATCCAACAAGTGTCCATACTACTGGGTTGGCTATTATGTCTAAGACTTTTCAATGTATGGAGCTTGTTTTTTTAAACAATAATTTATTTTTCAATTATAGTTGGTGTACAGTATTCTATTAGTTTTAGGCATACAACCCAGTGATAAGACATTTATATAACTTATAAAGTGATTACCTCAATAAATCTAGTGCACATCTGATATGATACATAGTTTTTGCTATATCATTGACTATATTACCTGTGCTATACTTTTTGCCCTGTGGACTGAAAGGTCTCGGGTTTGATTCCGGTCAAAGGCATGTACCTTGGTTGCAGGCACATCCCCAGTAGGGGGTGTGCAGGAGTCAGCTGATCGATGATTCTCTCTCGATATTTCTAACTATCCCTCCCTCTTCCTCTCTGTAAAAAATCAATAAAGTATATTTTTTAAAAAAGAGAGAGAGATAGAAACATCAATAATGAGAAAGAATCATTGTTTGGCTGCCTCCTACACATCCCACACTGGAGCCTGCAAACCAGACATGTACCCTGACCGGGAATCGAACTGTGACCTCCTGGTTCATAGGCTGATGCTCAACCACTGGGCTGCGTCATCCAGGTTCCACTTATTAATACATTCATTGGTTGATAGTTGTATGTGCCCTGATCAGGGATCAAACCCACAACCTTGGCATGTTGAGACAATGTTCTAACCACCTGAGCTACCCAGCTAGAACAAGAGTGGAATTGTTGGAACGTATGGTAAATTTGTGTTTGACCTTTTGAGAAACTGCCAGAATGTTTTCCAAAGTGTCTTTACCATTTTGTATTCCCACCAGCAATGTATGAGGGAATCACTCTTTACATATTCTCACCAACACTTATTGTTGTCTTTTTGATAGTAGCCATTCTAGTGAATATGAAATGTGATTGTTATTTGCATTTCTCTAATGATTAGTGATGTTGAGCATCTTTTCATGTGCTTATTGACCATTTGGATAACTTCTTTGATAAGTTATATCTATTATACCTTTTGCTCGTTTTTGATCAACTTTGTTGTTGTTGACTTGTAGTTTTTTTTTTAATTTTTTTAATTTTTTAAATCAATCTTTATTGTTCATATTATTACAAAAGTTCCTCATTTTTCCCCCCTCCACCAGGTTCTCCCCCCCCACCCTCTACCCTTTCCCCACCCCCCATTGTTCTCATCCATAGGTGCACAATTTATGTTCAGTCTCTTCCTGCATCCACCACTCCCCTTTTCCCCGAGAATTGTCAGTCCACTCCCCTCCCATATCTCTGATTCTATTATAATCAATAGTTAATATTGTTCATCAGGTTTTTTAATTTCCTTGGTTTTTTTATTTTAATTAATAAACTTTTATATTTTTTTTAAAAATATATTTTATTGATTTTGTACAGAGAGGAAGAGAGAGAGATAGAGAGAAACATCGATGAGAGAGAGTCATCGATCAGCTGCTTCTTGCACACCCCCTACTGGGGATATGCCCGCAACCAAGGTACATGCCCTTGACCAGAATCGAACCCGGGACCCTTCAGTCCCCAAGCCGACGCTCTATCCATTGAGCCAAACCGGTTTTGGCTAAACTTTTATATTTTTAAGAATAAATTTTAAAATCTAATAATTTTAAACCTTGTTTTTTTCTGCCCTGGGAACTGAGAAGCAAACTTGTTTACATGTAAACTTGCCCTTGGGCTATCAAACGTTGTAGCCATTCAAATGTAAATGAACACATTGTTTAAACATAGCTGCTGGTTAGAATTGGATTACCTCTTCTGGGTGGGAAGGGCTTGTCTTCCCCTTTCTCCATTAAAATTAAGGTGTTAGCTTTAAAACTTCTTTTTGGCAAGAGACCTTAAATTTTCAGAACTTTAAATTTTTCAGGTAGCAAATCAATTACTTAGCATTTTCTCAAATCAATAATACCTCCACATGCCCAAGGATACACTTCAAACAAAAGACACTTCCAAATAGATCAACCAACCTCATCCAGACCCCACACAAGGCACTCACAGATCAACACCCCAGCGCTACAACTCAACACATCCAGATCTAAGCCTAACTCACTTGATTCAGCAGACCCTCAAGTTCCCCCAAAAGTTTCCAGCCATGTCTGAGAGAGAGCCCTGGGGCATGGGCAGGTGAGGAGGGAGGAACGAGCTATTCCAGCCCAGCTGCTCCCGACCTGGCCGCTGTTGCTCTGGGACGCTCCACACCCAGCTGCTCCAGGCCTGGCCTCTGTTCCTTCGGGCCGGCTTCTCTGGGCCTGGTTGCTCCCCACCCGGCTACCACCACTCCGGGCCTGGATGCTGCTGCTCTGGGCCTGGCTGCTTTGGGCTCGGCCTGGCTGCTCCGGGCCTGGCTGCTGCTGCTCCGGGCCTGGCTGCTTCCGACCCGGCTGCTCCGGGCCTGGAAGTTTTGGGCCCAGCCGCTCCCGGCCTGGCTGCTCCCCACCCGGCTGCTCCGGGCCTGGCTGCTCCTGGCCTGGCCACTCCGGGCCTGGCTGCCCCTGCCCTGGGCCTGGTTGCTGCTGTTCCGGGCCTGGTTGCTCCCGACCTGGCTGCTCCGGGCCTGGCCGCTCTGGGCCTGGCTGTCGCCGCCCCAGGCCTGGCTGCCACTGCCCCAGGCCTGGCTGCTCCGGGCCTGGCTGCTGCTGCTGCTCCAGGCCCAGCTGCCACTGCCCTGGGCCTGGCTGCTCTGGGGCTGGCCGCCGCCGCTCCAACATTCTGTCTTTTTTTTTTTTAACTCATTTATGTTGCAATGTTGGCTGATGAGTTGAGTTCTGTCTTAATCTTCGATTTTTCAACATCTTTATATTCTTTCTTAAGTAATTTTACTATCTTT